AGTCAATCTAAATTATATACTGGTTTTTAAATGCAATAAAGTATAAAGCTATAAATCAATAAACCTTTACTACCATATGTTGCAGTATTTTTGATGTTATTGTTTTGATATACCATACCTCACTTTTCCAAGGTTTTCTTATCTTAAGCCAAACCTAAACAAACAAAGCAATGTTTGCCGTTGTTATACTACTTAGTTATAATTGATAATACCTTGGCATATGACAGCAGAAGCCGTTAAAAGTTGATGAATTACATTTACCTAAAAAATCAAAAATTTTAATTGCATTCTCATTGCATTAAATCTCTTTTAATTATAATGTTACAACTTAATCTAAACGACAACAGCAAAAAACTAATATATACAAGTATTGTTACTATTGTTGAAACAGAGCCTGGTTTATTAGGAATGATTAATGTTTTTGGGGGTCACTCATCTTTAACTTAAAGTTCGCATAGGCGTTCAACTTTAAGCCAAGTGAATCTCAAACGCTGATGCACTTGTAGATTGTTAACAAAGCTTTCATGTATGTTTATCTGTTTTGTATTTAGAAGCTCCAAAAAATTTTTATTAACATTCGAAGAAACACAATTATAAATATTCAATGAAAGTTATCGTATCTTAACTACAGTATATCTACTTTAAATAAGAATATGTAGAAGTACTCAACTAACAACAAAAATAATATTACATACATTTAGATGAATGCATAGCAAGTACTGATCAAACAACACCTTTTTAAAGGTTTTTTAAATTTTCTGTAATAGATCTAAAATAATAGCCAATCAGAATTTATTAGCTAATTGTTTAACAATTTGCAAACGCAATGGGTTTTAGCTCATTACAAATTACAGTGTGCCCGACCTCCTTGACATATCTACCATAGTTGCTAACACGTTGAATTTAAATAGCCAGTAATAGTCAAGCAAAGCAGAAACAGAAAAACATCCAAAAGGTTTTTTTTTTGCTAAGTGTAACATTAATGAAACATATAATAACTGTTATCTATAAAAAACCAGCTATTGCTTAAAGCTTGGTTGCCTAATATGCTTTATTGATTTTCAACTTTTTGCACTAGATAATTTACCTATAATAGCTGACGATTTTTTTGGTTTTATTGCAAACATCCGACAGTTGTGTGTAAAAAAAGTAAATTTAAACAATTAGCATTGTACTTCTCAACCAAAATAATAGAAATTCTAGATGTATTTTAAAATTTCAGGTTGCCCTATAATATAAACTATTTTATGTGATGTGCTTACAGTAAGCTATATAAATATTTAATAATTTTTAAATATTTTGTTTCTAAAATGTGTTGAACGGCAGTTAAGATTATTCCAAGCTTTACTATACCCCAATTTTATAAAAAAAAAAATTTTTTGCGACCACAACAATGCTCCCATAAGCTCATGTCAACGCGTCTACTATATATAATTACCAAGCGAGGAGCTAGCATTTTTAGATGTTATTTTCGAAACATTTACAACAATATTGTTATCTTTTATGTACTATATATTATTGTTTATTTTGTTATAATAGTATTTGTACGCGCTTTTTAAGAACAATGGAAAACATAACAGCCAGTACAGCATAGGCAATACACGGCACTAATCCACAATATCTTATTGAGACAACTTTTCGGCAGCGCATTTATGACTCGCGGTATTGGAAAGAGCACTGTTTTGGTCTCACTGTTACTGGTGTAATGGACAAGGCAGTTGATCTTACGTGTATTGGCGGTTGCTTTGGTGCCAGCCGGAGACCAACCGAGTTTCTTTGTCTCATGCTGAAACTTCTACAACTTCAACCTGACCGCCAAATGCTTGATGTGCTTGTTAACCAGAAAGACTTTAAGTACTTGCGCGCATTGTAACTATTGTATTTTTGATCGACACAACTATCGGTGGAAAAATATTGAAAGTTAAGGTTTAGGAATATGAAAGGCAATTATGAGATTGTACATATGGACGAGTTTGTTGATTCTCTTTTACGTGATAACAAAGTGTGCTTTATCACCTTGCCAGGTATTACCAAACGGGTGGCGCTAGAAGATGCTGGCCAATTACCCCCCGCGAATAAGCTCTCTCGATGACGACTCTGAAAGTGACAGCTTTGATAATTAAGGATGTTGTTAATATCCACCGAGGATCTGAGATATTTTATAAGGAATTGTAAAAAGGTATGTGGTCTGTTTAATAAAATCTTTAATTTCTTTGAAAGCCGCACATGTGGAACCATTCTTTGTCTTTGAAAAGATTTCGGAAAAAGACTTTTTTCTGAAAGATCCGAAAGGAATTCCGGGATATATTTCTGCATAAGCTTGCATACCTTTAGCGAGGTAGAGTAGGTAGGGATTAAAAAGTGCTGTTTCTGGTTGATGTGGTCAGCAAACGTTTTTTATGTCTACTTGTCCATATATTGTCGATTTATATACTTTGTATCCAGTTTTTTTGTTGTTGTAGCGAACAATACGTTTATTGTTGCTGACGCATACAGTAGCAGGTTTAGAATGAATTCTGTAGACGGACAGCCAGAAACAACGCGGCTAATCAACTCTGACAGCCCAACACCCATTAACTCCGAGCTAGTTCTCAGTTGGGACAACCTAAACTATGATATCAAGATAAAGGAAGGAACAAGACGTATATTGCACAATGCCGGCGGCAGCGTATATGCTGGAGAGATAGTGGCAATAATGGGTGCTTCGGGTGCAGGCAAAACCACACTTCTCAATATACTCTCTGGACGCGTACAGGGCGGGAAGCTAGAAGGCAGCATCCAATTTCAGGGCACACCTCGAAACCCACATAATTATAAGCGCATGCTGGGATTTGTCGAGCAGGACGATCTGATGCATCCAACGCTGACAGTTGAGGAGACGCTGCTTGTTTCTGCACGACTACGCCTGTCAGATGCCAAATACTCATTGCAGGACAAAAAAGAGCGCGTATCCGCTATTCTCCGTCAGCTGAGACTTTCTCAAGTTAAAGACACACCAATTGGAGGAGGTGGAAAGCGTGGTGTGTCGGGTGGTGAGCGCAAACGCGTAAGTATCGGTATGGAGCTTGTGACGGACCCTTCACTTCTTATGCTGGATGAACCTACATCAGGGCTTGATTCATCTTCTGCGGAGATGGTTGTGTCTTTAACAAAGGAGATATCGAGACAAAACAATATTTGTACGCTGATGACCATACACCAGCCAAGTTCTGAAGTGGTTGCACAGTTTGACAAACTTATTCTTCTAGCGCAGGGTAAACTGGTGTATATGGGTCCAACAGCACAGGCTGTCCGGTATTTTGAACTTCTTGGCCATCCGCCAACCCATCCAAATCCGGCCAACTTTTTTATTGATCTTATGGCCATTGACTTTTCATCGGCAGATGCAACGCAGAAAAGCGAGAAACATGTACAGTCATTGGTTGATGCCTATACCGAATTTCAGCAGAAAGGTGGCGATTTTTCAGAATTGGCATGTAAAGAAGCATTTGCGGCAGTCGAAAATATGTCAACAGGGCGTATAAGTACAACAAGCAGCAGCAACTGCAGCCATGTTAATAGCGATATGACACAAGAACAGGCAAATTTGGTATTGAATGATCCCATTCCAATGAATGGCTGGTTTGGTGAGTTTCTTGTTTTGCTTAATCGTGAATGGCATATCATAATGCGTAACTATTCATTTATTTATGGAATGTTTGCGCAGGCTGTGGTGACAATGTTATTTTATGGATTTGTGTTTTTTCAGCTCGACAATGATCAGACTTCAGTACAGAACCGCATTGGTGTACTAGCTCTTATAGTTATATCTAACTCTTTTCCTATTGCTTTACCCACATTGGCACTTATTATGAATGGGCGCAGTGTGTTGTTTCGTGAAAGATCATGCGGCATGTACAGAATGACAACCTATTTTTTTGCCAGGTCGTTAACTCTTTTTCCTGTGCTTTGCGTTTCATATGGAATTATGTTTACTGGTATCTATCTAATTTCTCATTTGCAGTACCAGGCTGGAAAATTCTTTATTGGTTTGGCAATCAATATGATACACATTTATTGCTGTATCGGGTTTGCTTTTATGATGGCAATGGTTGTTAAAAAAGTCGAGGTTGCAGGAGTTCTTGCTCCTGTTGCTTTAACTTGGCTTTCGCTTTTTATTGGAAACTTTGCTAATACCGACTCAATTACTCCAGTACTTCGTTGGATTAGATACGTAAGTATATTTTATCTTTCATACTCAGGACTAGCACAAAATGAGTTTCATGGATTGGTTTTTACATGTGATGCTAGCAATGACCTCTGCTATAAAACTGGTACAGATGTAATAACTGCGTATGCTCTTAATGCAGTTCCATTATGGCAGACTATTGTAATCAACATCTCAATAGGCACTGGTTTCTTTATTATTGCCTACATGTTGCTACGTTGGAATGCCAAGCCACGTTTTATTTGGATATAGATTTTTAATCATTTCCTAGACCATTGAGATAATACAGCGTCAAGATTGTTAAAAAAACTACCACAGCAAAGTTTACCGTAATATTACTCTACAATCTATAACTAAACATGCAAATGTTTGTAGTGAAGACTATCGCAGTATTAAATAGTTATTACTGATGCTAGATAAGTCTTATATTTTTTATTGCTTAGTAAATTATTACTTGAAGTAAGTTAAATCAAAAAAAAATATAGCCACTATGTATTTAGGCACCAAAAATACTATTGGTATCGGTGTTTGGTAATATCAGCTCTTACAATAACTATTACAACTTAGTGGTAATCAGATTCTACAGTCTTTAGTTTATAAGCTAATAAACACACACATAGCAGCGCTTAAAATATAAAAAACACTAATTTTATAAAAAGGCAATGCTGTATACCATTTGGTCGTTGACAAAATAACTATTCTAAATAAACAGCCAATCTGTGTACGGAGTAATTTATGAAAGTATGCGTTATAATTGCCATTTCGGCAAACAAAAAAAAATAACAAAAAGTTACGTCAGCGGCAGGATTCGAACCTACGCGGGATAACCCAACAGATTTCAAGTCTGACGCCTTAACCACTCGGCCACACTGACAATAATTAGCTGTACGTATTAAGACGATACACCTATTTAGGATTACATCCAAATAAAATTATAAAAGAACAAATAAAATTATAAAAGAAACCAGGCTGTAGTACAAGTATAAGTTTTTATGTAGGAATATATTTGTTGCGGCATCTGCTACTTGAGCATAACAACTACCCTAAGCAATAAAACAGAAGTTGTAGCAAGTTAAAATATGTAATTATTAATGGTAATTTAAAACACTATAGCTAGAAAACGCATATTTACTACAAGTAAATGTTGTGTCATTAAATAGCAACAAACAGTAGCGACAGAGACGACAAAATAAAGAGCCGTACTTTTAATTTTTTTTTAAAGTTGAAAAATATCCTCTAGTGCAAATTTTTTTTTACGTTAGACAAAGACGATAGAATTTAATTTTATAGGACACTGGTCAAAGTTGTCATTTGGGGAAGGTACCACAATATATTCGTTAAAGAGGGTGGTATCCGTAGTGTAACTGCACAATGCAGTATTTTTATTTGTATTATATGTATCTTCAAGTTCATAAAATACACATTGTCCTTCGTTTGGATGAAGTACTTTTAATAATGTATGGTAGTTGCCGTTCGGAAGAACCACATAATCCGCAGGTGTTTGTTCGCCTTTGGGAATTACAAAAGCAATAATTTTAATCACTTCGCTGGAGTGTCTTTTGCGCCAAACGGACTTAACCGTTTCACGAAGGTCTTGGTAATCAATCTACAGTATATAAAATGGTCAACAAATACAACAAAATTTGTTAACGAGCATTCTAAAAGTGGTTGGCTTGTTGTTTGTATGCACTAGAAGTATTATGCACCTCACGACATTGTACTTATTTACTAACACTATTTTGTTAAATTATATCAGAGTAATGCAAACGTGTACTTACAATAAATTTTGTGTCGGCAGGTTCGGGATACGACTCTGCAGTTTTTTCTCGAGCTGAATGACTAGGACCTAGTTGTTTGGTAATATTACTTAGTCTACGGCGTTGTTTATAATTGAGAGGGTTTTGTAGTTGTGGTAGTGCTTGAGCTACTTTGCTTCCAACGCCACTCCATGACAATGATCTGCGCATTGCGGGAAAGCGTATACACGTGGATGTGTGACCTACAATTTTATTAAAGGCAGTGCACAAGACAAAAAAAATGTAAAAAGATAAATAAATTATAAGAAAGCAAGCAAAAACAATAAAACAATAAATAATGTGATGCACATTGTTAAAGGATAAATGATGCTTTCTGCTGTTTACTTGAACTAGTCTTTCTTTTTACTTTTTTTTCTTCTTGGCATAATTTTGCTTTGTTGTCCGTGTGTAATTTATTTATAAAAAATTTAAAAAAAAAAAAGATGCAAGACTGCACAAAAAAAAATGACTGCGGGTTTTAGGGTTTGCTTGCCGAAGTTTGCAGCCAAGAACAAAAAAAACCCCCGCCAATAATCAAGTTTTAGACTTGATGCAGTTAGCAAGTAAGCCAATGTTATAAAATCGGTAACAACAGACTACTTCAAAGTGTTTTCAGAAATCTGTATAAATATTAAAACCAGTTAAATGAAAAAAGAAACCAGTAAAAAAATGTTTAACGAAGCTTGTACTTTTTAATCCGTGCATAGTCTTTGGCGACTTTCACACTACCAATAATAGCAATGACAATCCAAACAAGCATTAGCGCAATCATTAGAGGAATTTGACCTTGCAAGTTGGAAATATATGAATCGCACAATCTGCCAATTAAACCACCCGTGTAGCCGTCAAACTTCTGAGCACCTTCGATTTCCTCACGAGAAAGCTCAGATAACGGAACAGTATCGTATGAAAAACTAAACTCTTCTTTTTCGCTTTCTGCTGAACTGTCTAGCTTGCTGTCACTTTCATCTGTTGCCACATCTGTATCGTCGGTGGTGTTTGATTCGCTAGATTTGTTGGCATCACTAGACTCGGAAGACTCCTTTGGAGGATCTGATGTGGTATTGGATTCCTCGTCTTGATTTTCTTCTTGTCGCTTTCGAAGATTGTTAGACCCGTCATTCTTTGGGTTGGTATTTTCTTCCTCGGATTCGCTAGACTCTGTTGGTTTGTCATTCTTATCAGTTTCAGAGTCACCGTCCTTATCAGTCTCAGAACCATCAACCTCATCTTCATCAGTCATTTCGCTAGAATTTATAGAAGAAAGTTGAGTTTCTGCAGCAGCCAACAAACTTTCCAAATCCCTATGAGGCTGGAAAGTGTCAGGATCAAGTTCATCTGCATCAGCAACATAAACACCAACTGCAAGTATACGCAATTCTTCAGCAGTAGCATTTAATGGCTTTAGAAGAGATTTCACCGAAGAATAAAGTGCATCTTGTTCAACTCGAGGAAGATGAATACCCTTGGTAAAGTCATTGAGATAAGTTAATACTTTCTGAATAGCTTGGATATTTTTTGTCAACGTACAGTTTACCAATCCTTCAATAGGTTGTTCAAGTGGTGTACCTCCAAAAACATCACGAATTCCATTAATGTACTTTTTAACAAAATCATCAAGTGTTTTGTTCAACGATTCAGTCCCTTCTGTAACAGGTGCAAATAACGAATTGTTAAGGTCTTCTTCGCTTCCATTGATGCTTTTATTAATAGTGTCAGCTAGATCAGCTGAATCATTGCGTACACCTCCAAGTATTCCTTGATCAATAGCATAATATTGGAATTCGGCAAGTTCTCTAGACAATTTAGGTATATATTCACGACGGAGATCTTCAATTGCATGAATCTGCACGATAATCGCAATAAGTCCAAAAAGTCCTGCAATAAAACAAGCCATTGCGGGAGGATGCCATACATAATGAAGCCACCAACGCCAAGCAGCAGTGCGCTCATTATCACCGAATTTTCTTACAATAAACTGCGTAATGCGATCAAGCCATGGATTTCCTGGCAATATAAACAAGTCCATTTCCTGGCGAGTGGCTGGTTTGTAGAAAATATCGCGCTTATTGAATGGCGGCTTATAATCGGCAATTTGTTCGCGAAACTCTCCTAGACGTTCGCGGAATTTGGATTCGCGGAGCCAAGCCATCACTGCTTTGAAAATTATCAGACCAATTCCAGCACCAATAAGCGCTACTCCAGCGATGAACATTACCATAGCTGCGCCTTCACCCACTTCAACTATTAAATCTTGACCCATGGGGTGAGCGCAGACATTGGCTTCCTTATCCGTTTCTAAATATACCTTGTCAACTAAATTAATGTCAACGCCATCAAGTGAACTGTTCAAAGCCTTGCGGATAATGTTGAATGGAATATCGAGAAGTTTGGTGACATTACCAAAAATCTGCTCCTCAGTAGGTATTTTATCTTCTAGCGATTTAATACTATTTACCCAATCGTCAGGAATATGAACATCGAGTTTCTTTCGAATACTATCAGTATCAATAGCGTCTTTATCAGAATCGTCATTGTCATCACCGCCTTTAAAAAATTTACCAATATCATCAATAGCATCATTAGCACCTTGAGCAATTTTAGCAGAAACATCTTGTAAAGTACCAACTACACCGTCAATGGCTTTATTAAGTTCATCAGTAATAATCTTTCCAGCTTGTGCAACCATTGAAAGTGCAGTACGAATGATAAGTTCTGCAAAACAAATATATGTTCCAATATAAAGTTTAAGCACCCAAACTATCATGTTCTCAAATATATCGATTATTTTGGTCAGTGTTTTTGCTGTAAATTCAATAATATTCTCTGCCGATTTCTCTACCATTCTTAACGTTGATAATGCTGCATTATTCGGTGCATTAATTACAGCATCTGATGCGGAATCTACTGCATTGCAAGCAGCAATAAGAAGAGCTGCTGCATCTTCTGCTAATCGACGTGCCAGTGCTGCCATTAGAATATATCCAACGCCCATAAATATAAGCATAATAACCGTTTGGCTCGCCCATGAACGCGATAACTGTGCCCATTTTCCTATATATGGCATAATTAGCTCGCGCATTCTATTCAACCCCTTATCGCGTAACTTTCTCATATTTTCTCGGTTGCCACCAGGGCCTCCAGGTGGTCCTGGTGGACCCGATTGCCCATATGGTCGCTTTTCATCATAGCCAGGACCCGGAGGCATGTATTGGTCAGGCGGACCTCTTCCTGGGGGCATATCACGATATCTACCAGGAGGAGACAGTGGAACATCAGGACGTTCGCGATATACACCCGGAGCAGGGTCAGGAGCACTGCGTTGGTTTTCTGGGGGCCTACTGGGATTGCCATTGGGGAGCGGTGGTGGCGAATCAGGATATCTGTAAGGAGGGTTTTGATCATAATCATTATAGGTGATGCGAGGATATCTAGGCTTTTCAGAAGGCATATCAACTTTTTCTTTTATATCGAAATTGTCAGATTTCGGAGGCCAAGTATCAGCATCGGGAATCTTGAGTTTTGGTCTAATAAAGCCATCCTCATCATCAGCGCGTAAGTATGTTTCACGGGGCTCAGTTTTCTGCTTTGAATTATTACCAGCATTATCCATGGGTGGGTAAGTATCTTCGTATGTTGGTGGCCAAATATCAACAGCAGGAGAATAATCATTTGGACCACCCTTACTCTTCTCTGTATGGTATTTAGGTGAAGATGGAGAAAGTGTTGGTGCACCATTGATGCTTTCACGACGTTTTCTTGTGTTAACACCACCGTCCAGCGGTGGTGGTCCTAGATTTAAACTTTGTAGTGTTTGATATTTATTGTTATTCGCTTGTGGATTATTCGTTCCACTACTCCCGCCAACATTACTTGCATGATCATCTACTGTACTGTCAAGTTCATCAGTACCATTGCTTTCTGGACGTGGTTGTTTTTTATCCGGTGGATACTCATTACTACCGAAAAATTGATTATAGTATTTGTCCATTACCTAGACATGCAAATAATAGTCGTGTGGATATAGAATAAAAAGATATGGATGTTACAATTTGTTGTCAACAGAATACTATTACAG